CGGCAGGGGCGGCTGCCGCCCAACCGTGCTCGGGGAAAGGGGCTTGCGCCTGGCCGCCAGCCCTGCGGATGGAGTGAGGAACGGGCTTGGGATCGCTGATCCTCGGGAACCACCTCTGCCGCGCTCCGGGCAGCTCCGCAGCCGCCCTTCGGTGTGAGCTGAGCCAGCCGCGGGGATGGTCTCCTGTCCCCACCGTTCTCTGACCCGGAGAGGAGGATCCTTGCCTCCTTTTACCCATCCTCTCTGGAGAGCGGATGGCACAGGCCCGGGAGCCCCGAGGCTCAGGGACGGGCCTGCAGCGGGCACGGCTCAATGCCGGGCACTTGCCCTCTTTGAAACCCCTCTCCTTTCCCACCTGCTCCCCCAGCTGCACAGCACCGCGAACCCGCTGGGGCTGAGCGCTGCAGACAAAAGATTGTTTATCAGAACCTGCCGCAGCCTCTCCCGGCGCTGGCTCGCTTTAATTAGCCCCATCAAAGCCGGCTGCGTCTCTCCCTCCCTGAAAGGTTGCAGAACATGATTAATTCAGGCGCAGAAAGCAACCGCCTCCCGCAGAGAGGGGCCCCTCTGATAAGGCCAAAGCTGTTTTCTCTCCCCAAGCACCCTGCGTCTCTCAACCCCACGCAGCAAGGTCAGGGGCTCCCTTCTCCCGGGGCAAAGCTGTGGATGGGCTCAGGCTGCCCCAGGAGCCGGAGGGGACAGAGGGGACAAGCAGGAGCAGGGGTCTCACCAAGCCCTGGGTCTCGCTCTCCATCCCACCCATGCTGCGAGAATAGCCACCGTCTGCTCTGGTCACAGGCATCGCCCACTGCCCATCCATGGATCCGCAGGTGGGACCGTCCACCAAAAGCCCCAGGGACACGCAGCCAGGTCTGGGCTCGAAACCAGCTCTTGCAAACACGGGGGTCCACGCACCAGCCCTGGGGAGATGCAGGGGATACTCCAGCTGCCCCCAGTGCTGAATTTCTACAGCTGGTCCTCCCCGCTCCCACCTGCACGCAGCCCGGGGTCGCACACACCGTAACTCAGCTTTATTAGCTGCGTTTGTAGGCAAAGGGGTTTTAAAAGGAAAAAGCCTTTGGGGAAAAGAGATAGACGGGGGGATCACTTCCCCCTTTTTATTTACGCCAGGACGGCTGCGCGCAGCGTACCGACGGCATTCAATACCCCGGAGAGCCAATTACCACAAGGAGCGCAGCCAGAGCCAAGTCTGGGCTGTTCTCCACTTAATTTTCTTAATACAGTCACATCGTCTCGGAAAAGTGCTGCTGCTCAGGGGAAGGTACCAAGCGGTGTCCCAGCGTGAATCCTCCGCTTCGGGGAGGGCAGGCGCAGCCTGGGCAGAGCTTTGGGGCTTCTCTTCTCACGGCGGGGAGAAAGGGGTTGCGGCTGGGGCGGAGGAGCAGGGGGGGGCCACCCCCAGCAAGCACCAACACACCACCGTTGTCAGGTTTTTATTTCAATCTCATGAACATCCTTCCAAGAAATCAAACCATGAGAAGAAAAACATAGTATGAACCCCTGACAGGACAGACGAGCTGCAGCCCCAAAATTAACTGACCTGGGGGGGGAGCTGCGGGGAAGGGAGGAGGATTCCAGAAAGAGCTCAGGAGCCTGAGCCACGCAGATCTCACCCATTCTCCCCGAGCTGTTTGGCAGAGTTCAGCCAGGCAGAGCCGCATCAGCCTCATGCAGCGGGACTGACGGTAGGGAAACGTGTTCTATAAACCTCTTCTGCAAAGCAAATCCCACGGCCGAGCGATGGGATTCTGCACAGCAGAATCCCCGTGTGCGTCCCCAGAAGGGCCCCAGCTCGGTGCTGGGCTCAGCTCTGCCGTGCCTGGAGAGCCAACGCTGGGCCCGGCAGGTCGTGTGGGTACCGAGCGCCTTCCCTCCTGCTCCAGCCCTGTGTGGTGCCCGGCGGGCAGCCCTCGCCACGCTGCCTGCGGGGCTTTGCGTGCACCCCGGGAATGAAAAACACCACGGCTGCAGGGGAGAGAGGGGGCAAGGTGGGGCCAGGAATTCAATACATGTCTCTTCTCATGCACATTAAAGGCTCTGCTGGTGGTGCTCTTTAAAGCCAGTGGGCACGGCCATGTGGAAGCTGATCTCAGCTGCTGCTGGGGGTCTGCCCATGGAGACCCCCTGGGTTGAGCTTTTTAGCCTTTCACGCCCATCAGCCCCTCGCTCGGATAAAGAGCAAGAGAGAAACCATCTCTACCTGGGGAGCCCGCTCCGGCTGTCGCCTGCAGTAAGGCTACTGCAGCTCCCCAGCACAGGAGCGGCAAGAAGCCAGCTCCCTCCTCAGCACCGACCGCTTGCGTAACCCCAGCAGCAAAAGCGGTGCCACCCCGGAGAAGCAGAGGAGGAAACCCCACAGCACCCAGGCCGTTCTCGGAGCGCCGCGCCGCACCCCACGCCGCCACCTCGTGCGGGGCAGGACCACTTCAGCTGGGTGCAAACAGCCAGGCACCCTCAGAGGAGCACAGAAAGAAACGAACCTACTGCCTCCTCTTCTATTCTGCACACAGGGAAATCTTTATAGCTGGTCTGACACACAGGAACATGGCCCCAAACGGGGAGAAGAAAAACGCTGCTGAAAAGATCGAAGTCCACCGAACGGGAAGCGAAGAGGGGAAAGTGCTCCTGCTTCCCAGGAGACTGCTCTGGCTGCAGCCATGAGAAGCCATGCGGTGACTTCTCACATGAACATGTCGTCGTAGCCTGGAGGGGGAAGGTGGTCGGGATCTGGCCTGGAAAGAAATTCAGAGCAGAGTCAAACCGGGAGCAAGAGTTCAGTCCCGCAGCAACAGGGACGAGCCAGGAGATCCAGGGGCAGCCCGGAGGGCAGGCTGGGGATAGCAGGCACAGCCGAATACCTACCCAGATCTACCAGCTCCTAATGGGCCAAAGGGGTCGAATCTGGCGCCTGGTGGAACTGCTCCCGGGGGAAGCCGTCCTGGAATGCCCGACGACGGGTCAATGCCGGGCTGCGGGCAGCCAGACCGGAGAGGATCCACGATCATTCCCCCACTCCGACCTCTGGGGAGAGGAAAGGCAGAGAAGGAGATGAGATTAGCACTGGTGAGAGAGAAGCAAAGCACGTCCCTGTGCTGCAGGAACACCGGGAATGCGGGGTGCCACACACAACACGTGGGAAGGAAAGCACCCCTAACCCGCTGCAACACGGGCCAGGGCAAGCCAGCGAGGCGAGCCCACGGCAGCAAGACAGAGAGAACTTGATGTGTGTATGCGTGCGTATGTAAGAGTGCTGGGGCACAGCAGATCCTTGTCCCATGGAGGCTGCTGTCCGCCACAGGAGGGAACCCAAATGCATCACACCCTGCTCCTACCTGGGGTTATCACAGCTCTGCAAACCTGCCCGCGCTACGCCACGAGGTCAGGGGCAGGATGCGAATCACAGCTCGTCGTCATGCCGAGGCGGGAGTCTTACAGCTGCAGCGTGCCTGCCCAAGCCAGGGCACCAGCAAACACCCAGGTCCGGGGCACCACCGTGCCACCAAACCCCCAGGGCTAGCTGCAGACACGCACAGGGGAGCAACAGCCCTCGCCCACCTGCCTTCCTCAGAGCCAGTGCCAAAAAAACCACTCGGAGCAGCGGAGAGGCAGCTTCCCTCTTCCCCCGGTTCCTGCAAGGAGCCATTGAGGGCATCAGCAATGGCTGGTGAGTCCCAGTGGGCTGCTGACCACCCCCTGGGGAAGTGTCGGACCTGCTGGCCCTCGCTGCCAGCTCGTACTCCCGTCCCTGCTCTCTGCGCTCCCGGGCGAGCGGCACGTCCTGCCCTGCGCAGTGTTGCAAGAGCTCGGCGGACCCGGCTGGGGCTCCCGCCAACCTTTCCAAATTGCTGCCTGGAAGTCATTTGCTGACCACGGCGGCTCCTCGGAGCTGCCCCACGCTGCGAGCGCCATTCCTCATGGTCGGCTTTGTGCAAACTCGGCTGGAGCCTCTGGACACTGCTGCCATCGTGCAAGTCATTAACAACTGCGCTAATGAGTTCCATTACGCCAGGCCGGCTGCCCAAAGCGCCTCGGGACAGCCAGGCCCCACGAGCATATGCCTGGGAGTCTGGGTCTCTAGCCCCAGCGCTGGCAGGTGTCAGCGCACAAATCTGCTTCCATTTACAATCTTTTTTGTCATTTATAGAGAAACTTCTGATGAAGGGCTGGAGGCGGCGAGAGAAACAGGGTCCCCCCCCCACAACTGAACCCCCTCTCCTCATGCTATCGGGTTTCCTTCCAGCCACCCAGGCTCCCGGCCTCTCCTTCCAGCTGGGCAGGACGTTTTTAGCTGGCCCTTTTCTAGCCAAACCCACGGAGAACCAAGTCTTGCAAGAGGGGAAAAAATGCGATCCCCACAGGAGAGTGGTTCCAAAGAGGACTCCCCTGGGCCGCAGGACGCTCTACAATGACTCCAAGGGTTGGTTTTTGTCTGACTATGTGCTTTTAACTGGAATGGAAGATGACAGGTTCTCCTTGCCTGACCAAACCAAAGACAACCACGTATCTGTGAAGATCGGTCCCCCAGACAGCCCTCCTCCTACCCAGGCTTTCTCTCCAGTGCCTCAGACAGCCGGGAGGCTCACAACCAGGACTCGAGAATCTGTGGACTCGGCTTTAAGCCCCCCCTTCTCCAGACTGCTGGGCTGTAGACGCAGCAGCTGGTAACATTTTAAATTAGAGGCTTACATACACTTAACGACGTATTCAGCTTTGATTTACTGAAGGAATTACTGCATGTTAAATGAATACAAGCTGATTATTAAACAGACGCAGATTGCAACCTATCATCTATGCAAGAGATGGGATCTTATTACGATATTAGAACCATATTGAGGTTTAGCAACTGTCAATTGGTCCCTTGCAATTTGCACTGAGCAACTGTCCCATCGCTGTCTGCGCTTAGAGACGGTTCGCTGGACGCCTGAGCCAGGCGGACTCCAGCTGTTCCAGAGCAGCTCCCCAGCCACCCCCACACATCCCAAGGGCAGAGCAGGGGATGCTCCCCAGGCACGCAAAGCATGACCTCTGCCAGCCATACTCACCCAAAAGGGTCCAGGTCTTCCCCACCAACAGCAAAGGGGCTCAAGGGGGAAGGCCTGAAACACAGAACACAGCGAGACGTTCAGTGAAGGGGAGACCGGCTGCACGGAGCGAGCAGGAGCGAGCAAGCCGGCAGGGCAGTGCAGCCAGCGCGGTTGCCGGTGCTGTGCTCGTGGGTGCTCTCCCACGGCAAGCACTGCAGCACCCAAAGGGCCCTGGGACCTGCAGGACCCTGCGTGAGTGGGCTGGCATTGGGAGCCACCCCATGCCCAGGACGCAGCATTCCCTGCTCCAGGGTGCAGCTGGGTGTGGACACCGGTGTGCATGGCAGGCTTGCGGGAAGCTTGCTGAGATGAAGGGGGCCCTGCTGCTCCCACTGCTCCAGGCTGGAGCTGCCTGTGGATGCTGGGAGTTTCCATGCCAGGGGCTCCCCGAGTGGTGCCAGGCTAGGCCAGGCTCTCCAGCATGTCCCAGTCGGAGACACAATGACAGTCCCGCTTCCAGGAGTGTGAGGACAGCGGGGCGGTGAGCCTGCAGCCAGCTGTCACATCTCCTTGCCAATAATATGTACCAACAACACGGTTTCAGAGCTGTGCCCAGCTCCAGCCTGTCTGCCCAGGTCTCCCCGAGGAGCATCTCGCACCCTGAGCAGCCCTGAGCACCAGCAGACAGCAGTGGGGTTAAGGAAGCAAGAGGTGACACGCAAGGCAGAAGCCGTGGGGGCGGTGAGCCTGCAGCCAGCTGTCACATCTCCTTGCCAATAATATGTACCAACAACACGGTTTCAGAGCTGTGCCCAGCTCCAGCCTGTCTGCCCAGGTCTCCCCGAGGAGCATCTCGCACCCTGAGCAGCCCTGAGCACCAGCAGACAGCAGTGGGGTTAAGGAAGCAAGAGGTGACACGCAAGGCAGAAGCCGTGGCTGGTCTCCAAGAGACGGCAGAGCCACCGCAGTGTCTCTGACTTCCAGTCAAAGGGGATTACAGCCTGTGGGGGGAGAGAGGGGGGAGCCCGCCTGCCACGTATGAGGGGTGGCTGGGCACGAAGGGGCCAGGGAGGGATGGTGAAGTGGGTGCCGTGTGTCCCCTCTCCCCAGCTTTGCCAGCAAAGAGTTTCAAAGGGAAAGCGGGGTCAGGAGAGCAAGAGGAGGTCTCTGTTCCCCTCCACCAAGCCTGCACCTCCTGGGCCTGGCCCCAAGCCCCGGCTGGGTGCACCGTCCCGGGAGGGCAGCTCTACCGGCCACAGCAGGCGGGAGGCTTAGAGGCAGCCCCGGCTCTGTGCCAAGCGAAGGCAGAGCTCTGCACCCGCCACACGCCCTCTCCCCTCCGCTGCGAGCAGACCCCACAGCTCTGCTGGAGCCCACGGCTCGATCCGACACCCAGCGCTCTGGTGTCCCTCCTGGAGGCTGCTTTGGCCCCACGACACCACTGTCCTTCCCACTGCTGTCCCTGCTCTGCCAGCCCTGGAGCCCTGATGGTCCCTCAGCCAGCACAGAGCAGGGTCTCCCTCCTTCCACCCCTCACCTTCACCCCAGCCCTGCACACTGCCCTCTCCCTCCTGGGTCTGTAGGTCTCCAGCGACACCCCTAGGCAGTGCCAAAGGAGGGTCAAAGCAACACACAGCTCCGGAACAGGCCATCCCTCAGCAGGCAACTTAAATCAAACCCAAGCATGCGGTCAACGAGGCTGAGACTGGCTGGGGAGGGTTTGGATCCCCTTTGCTCCCCATCCCACGTGTGCAAGATGGGGACCAGAGGTGAAGATTGGAGAGCTGTGCCAGGACCACGTCCCTTCGAATGGAGGACCATCAGCAGCCACCCGCTCTTTACTCACCAGGACGGTGCTCTTGTGCCTGCCGGCTGCCGGGGAGGGACCCTCAGGGGGTTGTAATCCCGGGGCAAGTCAGGATCCTTCTTCTCAGCCTCGGGCTCCTTTTTGGCCTTTTCTGCAGTGGCCCTGAGGGGAGCGATGATGCCCGAAGCAATCCTTGTCCTCAGCTCCTCAGTGTTCCTGTACACCCTGCAGGGAGGAGAGGTGAGGTGGTGGGCTGGGGAGGTGACAGCACCTGGGTGCAAGGTGCTGGACAGGCTGCGAGAGGGGTGGTGAGGGGACGGACATGCCCAAAGCGTCCCTGGCACAAAACGTGTCCCCAGCTGGCAGCACGGAGGGGACGGGAAGGGGTAACAGCACACAGTGGCACCAAAGCCCTGACCCTATTTGAGAGGGCAGAGGTGCCACCCAGCCCAGGGGGACTCCCTTGTGCCGTGGCCATGACCCGACCAGTTCTGCGCTGGAGGAAACCACAGCACATAGCACTGGGCTTTAGCAAAGCCACAGAGTGTCTGGGCCACGGTTGAAGGCGTCTGGTTCATGGCTGAAGCTGTAACACCACTGGGCAGTGTCCGCCCAGCACAGGCAGGCAGGCAGTGCTCTGGAAATAAAAGTGCTGGGCTGGCCCAGCCCGTTCCCAGGTGGGGTGGCTCCCCCCTGGGCTCCGACCCAGGGTCCCACCATCCCCTAAATCCCTCTTGCCTGCCAGCAGCACAGAGGGAAGCAGAGGAGGGAGCTCTGGCTGCATTTCAGGGCTAGCTAGACTGCCCCCAGGGTTTGTACTGGGGAGAAGAGTCCTCCAGGCTCCTCCTAACCTGGTCTCTGCCCCCCTCCCGGTGCCGGCAGGACATTTTCTCCTGCAGAAAATGCTGGGGAACCGAGATTACTTGTGGAAATCGTCCAGGTGCTCCGGGTTGATGTAGTCGGCCACTGCCAAGGTCACATCTGCCACCTTCTGAGAACTGCGATCCTGGCAAAAGACAGGTGAAACACGGAGTCAGCAGCCCAGCGGAGCTGGGAACGAGGGAAGGAGCAGGTACAACCACAGCCAGGGGCTTGGGACACAAGGAATGGGCTTGCCTGCTTCCTGCCACGTCCCTGTGCTGTGCCCGAATCCCCAGGAGCAAACAAACCCCACTGTACAGCGAGGCTCTCCCTGCTCGCTCTCCCAATCAGGTCTGCAAAGGGTGAAAGCAAGAACACCCCAGGCAGGTGCTTGTGGGGGACAGGAGAAAAGGTCTGCAGAAAAATCCTGAGCTGGGAAGGGGACACAAAAGGGGCACTTCCTGGGCCAGAGTGTGCAAGGCAAACCGCATCACTGCCCTGATGCAGCTGGTGTTTGACCAGCTTCACACTGGGCCACATCTGCTGCCGCACAGGCAGGTCTGCAGCCCCTAACACCCCCTGGGTCTGCCCCATCCTGAGGGACAAACATCGCTGCAAGGTAGAACAAGAAACAGCAAAAATTTAAGAAATGGGCCCTGCTGTTCTTTGCACATTTTGGGTGGCAGCAGCCGCTGCACCTGAAGGACCCCAAACCCGCAGGGACCAGCCTGGGTGCTCACCATGACGTTGAGGATCATACTGTCTTCCACCATGATGGCCTTCAGCAGCAGCTCATGGGCATCGTCCGTGGACTTGTAGCGCAGTGTATACACCTCCTTGTTGGCTTCCCAGCCGGCGGGCAGCAGCTCCGACTTCCTTTCATCAGGACCTGGCTGCAACAGGACAGACGTACTGCTGAGACCCTGCCCATGAGCCCAGCCCGCTGCAGGGCTGGGGGGACCTGTCTTGGCTGCACAGAGAGATCCAGGAGGGGATCTAGGTCTCTGGGAGTGGATCTAAGTCTCCATGAGGGGATCCCTCGGTGCCTTCCAGGTTTTGACTGCAGGAGCAGGGTTTTATTTCCTACGGGCTGGCCCTGCCTGCTTGCCGGCCTCCCACAGGGTCCCCGCGCTGGAACAGGAGGGACACAACCACCCTTTGCTGAGCAGGAGAAGGCAACAAAGACCCAGACTGGGGGATGATGCTCTTCCCTGCCTGGCACCTCTCGGCTCCCCAGCATGGGACAGAGCTGTCTCGGGCGGGGGGGGGAAGGCTGTCGTCCTGTTTGTCCTA